GAGGACCGGAAAGTGGAGCATCGAGGATCGGAAAGTGGAGAATCGAGGATCGGAAAGTGGAGCATCGAGGATCGGAAAGTGGGGCATCGAGTCACGCGTGCCCCCAGACGAATCCTTACCCCATCAGCTGGCGAGGAACGCAGCAACGCTGGCTCATCTGCATCGACCCGACGGGTTCGAATGTGCTCGAATCCACGAAAAGAGAAAATTCAGAATATTTTTATATAGAAAATACTTTTAAAATGTATTTATTTTCGAACTTGAGCCCTTTAAATTTCGTGCCATCAAGCCTGCATTTTCACGGCTGCGTTCCAAGCCGGAGGCCAGCGCGATAGAGGCCAGCGCGATAGAGGCCCGAAGAGAAAAGGTTTCCAATCAAGTAATGGATTGCGGAGGGTGATCGTAATGGACTTCCGCTGGACTTCCTCCGTTCTTTTTATCAATTCTTCCGTCGCAAAGAGGTTGCATTGAAAGACTCTGAAATCAGGATGCAACCTTAAAAAAAAAGGGCTTTTGCGACTAAATGGGAAGATAAACTTTCGAAAAATAAATTTTGGAATATTTTCTCTGCGATGCGAAAAAAAAATAAAACTTACAACAATTTACAGCAGATATAGCAGAAAAGGACGCTTCTCTTTTCCGCCTCTTTGTTCGGTATATTCCTTGCTCTCGCCTCTGACCAATTGAGCTGACCAATCGAGTTGACCAATTGAGTCGACCACTCGAGTTGGCACTCGGTCGCCGCCGCTCGTCGGACAAACCAAACGAGAGCTTGCCCCAACGAGCACGTAATTATCGCAAAGACGGGAGCAAGTCGGAAATCGATGATGGGATCGCGACGAGCGGAAGAGCGGAAATCGAAGGCCGCTTACCCCACCTTACCCCCACCTTACCCCACCTTACCCCACCTTACCCCACCTTACCCCACCTTACCCCACATTACCCCACCTTACCCCTTTCCCTCCTTACGTCCCATACCTGGAGGCTGAGATGGACGTCGCCGGAGCGGGAGTTCGGTTCCTGATGGCCGTTGCCCCGACGGGACGGGGGCGAGCCGCAGGCGGACTCCTTCATCCCCTCCAGGGGCTCTCCGTTCTTCATCTCCAGGAACTCCTGGATGATGTCGATCGAATACCCGGGGAAGATCACCTCCACATCTGCCGGAAGAAACCCAAAGCGGTCGAAGGCGAACGAAGAGGCCGCGAAGGAGAGACGAGACCGAAAACCCACTGGACAGACACCCCTCGTACGGCACGAACCGCTCGAAGCGGGGATCGCCCGCGGGCCCCGACGCCAGGTACACCGCGTTCTTCTGCTCCTTCGCGTCTTCGTCTTCGGGGACCTCCTTCCCCTCGACCTCCATGGGGAGGCTGGACACGTCGTATTTCAGAGGCACCTCCTGCCCGTCCACCTTCAAATCGCGATTCGAATCGTTCAGTCGAGCGAAACGAAATCTCCAGCCGGTGCGCTAATCGGCAGCCGGCCGACAGGCAACTAATGATTTCGAGGATAACGGTGTTGGGATCTTGAAACGATCCGACGATCCATTACAACGATCCGATGATCCGTTGCAATGATCCGACGATCTATTGCAACGATCTGATGATCCATTGCGAACAAACGATCTGATGATCCATTACGAACAAATGATCTGATGATCCATTACGAACAAACGATCAGGGATTCCTCGGATCCCCCGGATACCAGATTTATTCTCAAATATTAAAGAATAAATTTCTAT